AGTAGAAATGCCCTTTGCTGCTAGTAGCAAGAATTGCTCCTAGTAGTAAGGCCAGGAACCCCTAGTAGCGTCTTCAGTGCCTTGAAGTAGTCTGCTTTCCATTCTTGCGTTGCAAGCATCAGCTTGATCGCCTGTCGCTGGATGTCGCTGGTCGTTGCTCTGATCGCTCCACTCTCCAAAGTACCGTGAGTAAAATTTAGTACTCTGCGCGGTGAGCGAGGGATCCAAGTGGTGGGATGCTTTGCTATTCTCCTGAGGTTCTGTTTCATATTATGTTTCCCTTTTAATCTTTCGAGTACCTTTCTTCCACAAATTTAATAGAGGCACCCAAAAATCTTATTGAAACCTCACCCTGAAGCTCTTCACCGTCCAGGACCTCGGCTGCTCTACTGCCTTTTCCGCTCACCCTGGACCCTCTTTCAGAACCTTCCTAACCTGCGGGAACCTCCTCCAGAACCTGACACCGAACACTTCGGAAACTGCCCCAAAGCTTGAACCCTACGCTACACGGCACCCTCTCACTATGGCTGCAGACCCCAAGCTGTCGAAAAGAACAACAATGTCTTGAAAGAGACTTCATTGTTTCAAGTTTCTCAGGAGATTCCAAAATTCTGACTGCTTTACTTCTAGATATGTTGCGTTCTATCTAAATAAATGTGGTCAGCCGGCTGGTCACATGTCCCACCCACAGGTGCCTTGTGAGGATCCCCGCGGGCTCTGCTCAGGAATCGCCCGGCCATAATTGCCTGGCGTGGTGAGTCTGAGAGGCACTGGAGACTCATCTATCTCATCTGATATCCATTTGGCATCTGGAATCCGGATGCAACTGCTGTTGGTAGGACGCATTCTTTGATGTGGTATCCTCTTCTTTGTTCATCTTATGTCGTCACGTTTGCATGGACTTGCACACGATATCTATATAATTCTATATAGCTCTAGGACTTGTCAAGTGATACAGCTGGGACAGTCACATGAGTGCACACCCCACGCCCTAATCATAAATGCAAATATTGGCAGAATACGTACTATGTGTGGATATTATGTTATTTACTAGTGTGTAACTTATACATATATATATACCTGAGAAGGGGGGACGAAAGCCAGCAGCCGCCAGACGAGTGTCTCTTTCTCTGGCGGGCGTCGCGGCGCAAGACACATGGTCAGCAGCTTGCGAGTCAGCGGTGCCGCGGATGCGGGGGGGCGTATGTAATGGTGATGGAGGGAGCAGAGAAGCAAGCCGGGCGGCTTTGGGATAAGCTTGGTATGAAAGAAGTAGTGAAACAAAAATGCGATACGTTGTATGTTGGTGTGTAGGTCTTCATCACAAGGCAAAGGCATGCGTTTGTCACACGCAGGAAGGTATGCATCTTATGGAAGTTGGAAGGCGACATCAGCGATAGGGAAGGGGAAATACCGTCTGAGTTCGAGTGGGGGATGCCACGTGCGCGCGCAGGAAGACCTTCTCCATAGTCAGCATCGCCGCGCGACTACGGCGTGCGTTTGAAAAGAAGCAGTTATGTGTTTGCTACATTTGGAGTGTTTGAAGTTTGCAGCGCATACTGCGGCGCGTCAAAAAGCGGCGTTCGTTGCTTTGGAAAAGTGAACGGGCAGGTCTTAGCCGGGACACGGACGTTTGATCCCGCGGCGCAGAAGGGGAGGTCCAGCGGGAGTAACTTGGGCTAGCAAAGGAATGAGGATTTGCGTGCCTATCGATGCACATGCCTGGACTTGAGTGAGTCATGTTCTGGCTTGATCCAAAACACAATCCTTTTCCTTTAAAGGGGCCTTTATTAAACGATCCAAACACCTTCTTTATTCTTCTCTTTCTTATCAACTCTGCGCCTTTCTCACTCAGAGGCCTTGACTTTGGCACCTGCGTGTGTAGATCTTTGGGCCGTGGACCCAGGCTAACTGGATTCGGCCAGGGCTGCTAGCAAAAAGGCGACGTCATGAGTCAGTAGTATATAGAAATTATCTATCTATCTATCTATCTGTCTATCTGTCTATCTATCTGCACCGGCAAGCCGGAAAAACGTTCGGTGCGTGTGGACGCCGCGAGAAGCATCCACTCGACCGAGGACATGGTGCACGTATAGTTTTTGCTAGGGACCAGGATCCCTGTGCGGATATGTAGTCAACCTCGCAGGCATCCCCACCGAAACTCAATTCAAGTTCATGGACTTGAACTCATCTCACTTTCGGCTCTCTATAGACTTCGCGAGTTACAATTTGTCCTGGCAACTCGTATCCTACATGCGGCTGCGGTCCGCTGTGTACGTGGGTCCCTGTCTCCACTCGATTGCTCAATGCCCATTGTCCAAGTAGCCTCCAAAGCCCTTCATGATGCTAATGATGCACTCCTCGGCGTCCATTACATCACTCGCATCACCAGACCCCATTTTCACTGCTTTTCTAACCCTTGCTTTGGAGCGCTCTCCCCCACCAAGCTCTGGGTATCCAAAGGTCCTCGTCAGCGACCACCCCTCCACACCCCCTTAACTCACTTCCTTCACTCTAAAAGCTCAAGCCTAGCCTATGGGCTGGCTTTCGTAATATGTTGTATTATGTTTGTCTCGTTGATTGGTCTTGGTTCAACCGGCCGGAGGGACAATGGAAGGGAAAAACTCTAAGCCCTGCTTCTCCGCTTCTTCCTGCACGGCACGTCTCGGCTTCGGCGCCGCTTCAATCAGCGGCGACTTCTTATCTTCCGCTTCGAAGATGTCAAGTCAGCCAATTCCAAAGCCAAGCCAGTTAAATCAGGGCTTCGATAGGGCTCTCCTAAGACATTTCATGTCCAGTCTAGTCTCGTCTCCTGCAAAGCCTTCATGCTCGCTTGCTCCTTGCAAAACAATTGCTCGAATTCATTATCACAAAAAGCATGCCTCGCTAGCGGTCTGTAAGTATCTTCATATATCAGGCATATCATTCAACCAGCACAATCTTTCGTCTTCTAGCCCATCCTCTGGATACAGCTCGATGTTGCAGTAAATTTTTCGTTCTTTGTCACCATTCTTGAAGTGGCCTAGAGTCGTGATCGCAGCACGAAATCTGTCCAGTTGCTTCGACCAGCACTTGTAAGCTTGCTACTGACCACCATGTCTGGCTCTGGCTCAAAGGTGAACGCCTCAGCTCGGCGTTCACCGCGACCGCGTTGCGTCCGCAGACACGACCCGTCGGTTCGCCTCGTACGGCGTGGTGAAGGGGGCAATGTTCTCCTCCTGTGAGGCGGCCCGGTGGGATGACAGCTATAGTGAAGTTTCCCTAAAAATCTAGGAACCAAATGAATAGCCCATGAGGTATCCTGCATCCTAAGTAGTAGCTACTTAAGCTACTAGCTACTTCTTCTACTAGCGACTCCCTAGCTACCTACCTCTACGGCCTACCCCCCTTTAAAACAAAGGTCCAATCTTCTCGCCATTGGGGACGCAAGAGATTTCACGCCTTCACGGACAAATACTGCGGCTCTTCGATGGTCCTGCCGTAAGTCCCTATATCGGAACGGTTTCAAGTGTTCATAACATTAAATATATATATATATATATGTACTTAATATATATATATATATATTCTTAATATTCGTGTGTTTTTTGTTTACTGTAGGGCTAAAAACACTCTCGTCAACTGTGAAGGAACTATTTGCAAACGAACTTACAGTGTAACTCACGACACCAGGATTAGCTTCTCACGCTTGTCTTCGTGCTTTCAGTACCTGTGGCTGACAAGGTCAAATCCTCTGGCCGTGCAATTCCGCCGAAAAAAGATGCCACCGATGCCATTTCATGCTTTGCACCTGTCATCCTTTTTGGGAGCCTTCTGGTTCATTTGAAGTTGCATGACCCGCTTGCGTGGTCAGCATTTGCATCGGTTTTTCCTCATTCTTTGCAGGGTCGGGGCAGCTTGCTGCAACGTTGGTTAGGCAGTGCAACTCAACTCCCAGACCAAATTAGTTATCCTATGTTATCCTGCACCTCTGTGCGTATCTCAAACGGCATTTTTCAGTGTGCAGCTTGATTCCCCACGTCCTGAAGCCATCCATCACTGGACCCTGAGCCGACAGGCAGACAGGCGTCGTCACCCCAATAAAGACATGAGCGGACACTCATGATCTGAGCTCTGCAAAAAAAAAGAGCACCGTCCCCCGCCTTCTTGAAGCGGCCTATCAAAAACGTCAATCCGGGGAGATCGGAAGGGACCGGGATCGTCACTGTCGAACGAATGGTTCCCAGAAGAAATCGATCGAATGTGTTGAGACTTTTTCCATCATTGACACAAGTCACAAGTGGTCTCTCCGAAAACACTTGGCGCATCAAGGAAAAGCGCTCCTGCTGCTGCTCCCTTGCTTCCCTTGGTCTTCTTGGGCATGCTTCCTGAACCTCCACTTGCAAACAATGCGTGGGCGATTTCAATGAGGCACAAAAAGTACTCGACTAAAAATGCTTCGCCTTGCTCTTGCGCAAAGCAGCAAGGGGGCTGGGGGCTACTTCCCTTTTTGGTCCTGATTTGCTGCAAACACATGTTGCGGATCGTATCCATATTCGACGCTGGCAGGTTGAGTGTGAGTGAAGTCAAAAGGTATTGGCAGTTTGAAAACAACTTGCTCTGAAAACAAGAGAGAAAAAACAGCAAGGTACAGTGACAGTGCATCAAGTAATCCTGAGACCTGGCGAACTGTTTTCAAAGCCTGCTGGCGCATGACTTCCTTTGGCCAAGGTTATGGCGTGTCTGGCGAATGGTCTCTCTCACAGTTCGCTTCTAATAGATGAGATTAGATGAGTATTGCACTGTTTGCTTCTAGATGGAGCTTTCAGAATCCGGCTCTGCCGACAAACATAGTTGCTCGTTTTGCTAATGACAACATGATGTGTCCGCATCAAGTAGAAGTTGCCAGGCACACGGGGCACATGTGACACTGTGGAAGGGGTCTCAATTCAAACAATAATGACAATTCTTCAAGACCCTTTTTCTCGACCCGAGAATCATTCTTGTCATTCTATGTCATTCTCATCTTCGAGCGCATTCCACAGATTTCACAGCTCCAGCTACGCACGTATTCCGCGGACCGAGAGCCCATCAGTGGAAAGCCATGTGAGCAACGGCCTAGGACGCGTTGGCGCTCCACGGCTGTGGCCAAAAACAGGTGCACCACTCTCCGCAATTTACCCATAGAGTGGCAAGGAATGGTTCTGTTGCCATTGAACAACACTTCATGTGGTCATTAGTGCACTTGTCGTGTATGGTAGAATCCTGTAGAATCCATTGGATCGTTTGTATACATCTATTGGTTTTGGTGCTTTGTTGCTTGAACAAGAAGCTACTAGGTGGAGGCCATCGCTATTAGGTTGGAGGCCATTACTACTAGTAACAAGAAGCTACTAGGGGCTCCTGGCCTTACTACTACTAGGGGCTCTTTGTTCGTCGGTTGCTTCAATTCCTGTTCGGACTCACTGGGTCAAACGAGTGCACTGAGCTGGACACAGCCCTAGGAGCACCTCGATGAACAGCTGGTTTTGTACGAAGCTGTGAACCTGGAGCAACAGGAAAACAAAGAGCTTGAAACTGCTTTGAGGTTTGCTCAAAGTTGGCCATGTGTCATATGACTCGTTCGCTGTTTGAGGCCTCTTTTTGCACCTCCAGGAAAGCCTGCAAGATCAACTTCGCTGCTGCTTGCAGCTTGCAACTAACTTTCAACGCTCGCTGGAGATGTATGAAACAGCTTGAGCAAATCGGACAATCCCACCTAACAATAAAACCCTCTATATGAAGCTGCCAAACTGGTCTAGTAGATGCCAAAGTGGCCTCTATGACTCTGAGGTAGAGCTGCAGATAGAGATGCACCTGTTCACGTCGGAAGTTTCGTGCGGGCTGTGCGCTTCGCCATGGCATAATATGGCCTCCCTGCCTCTTCTACTGCCTTGCGCCAGTAGGAAGAGACATGTACCCGCAGCTGCTTTGGCAGCCTGGACCCAGAAGTGTGCTAGTGACTGCTGGTGTGCTCTCTTCACGTCCAGCCAGTCTTTAAAAAAGAATCGCAGCCTTAGAAGGTGACTTTGCAAATAGGACAGGTTTTCTTGCGTGAGAAGCAAGCCTTCCTGACGCAAGGCGTTCACTTCCCGACGCTTGTGTCTCTCTATGAGCTCTGTCCAAGACTGACCGTGACCTGAGCTTTTGACTTGCCGGAAAGACACAAATTCGTCATCGTTAGCAGCCTGAAGCCACAAGCTATGAATGAGCTTTCAAAGGTAATGGCAAAACGTCAGGAGCCTCTGGTAAAAGGAAGCGCACTGCTTCCCCACTGGTCAGGAGGGCAGCCTTAGCTGTGCATGAGTCCAAGGTGACCAAACAGGGCTTGATTTGGAAGGTGAAGGACATCCAATCTGCAGCTGTTCAATGAGATATGTACCTTGTCGCATGTTGTCCTGGTGCTCTATGCCAGCTGGAAGCGGCACTTTTAGCTCGCTTAGATTCACTTCGCATCGTCACTTATTATGCTGAGTAAGATCCTGACAGATGAAGGTTCGGCTGCAAACCACAGTGCGATGTCCATGAAATCTGCCTTCCGCACGCGCACCCGGGGTGTGTCTTCCAAAGGTGAACATAAAGGTGCTCACCCTACATCGAGAAATTGGTGCTTCTTAGATCAAAAGGCCTTCTCACTCAAGAGCACTTCAATCAAACGCCGGAGCAACCGCTGTGCTCCCAAATTCGCGCCTGGGCGCCGAACCCAAAAGGATGGGTTGGGAGTTGGGGATGGATCACGAATCGGCGGCACACTAAGTCGTGACTGGTCAGTTGTGGTAAAGATACGCCCTTTTTGGGGGACACTCTGATTTGTGCATATTTGGGCCAAGGCTTTTCAAGCTTTTACTAGTCCTTTGACGGAGTCCACCTGGAAGTCTTCTGTGTTCGATACCTCCGACCGCTTTTCAGTCCCGGACCGAGAGGAGGCCCAGCCACGAAGTGCGTGAGCGACTCCTGCAGCCGAGGACCCAGACGGAGTGGGAGTCCGAGAGCGGCCGGCATCCAAGGCCTGACCCTTGGCCACAGCCAGTGCGGAGAGCTTCCACAAGGGCAACCTCATATTCAAAGTACTGAGATTCTGCTGAGTTCTTCTTTTTCGGCACGTCTGTCACGTCAGGTCTTCAAGAGTCTGTATATAGTCATCTTGTGGCACTGTTCAATCAGGTCGATCACCGAATTCGGACCACAGGACAGGACAGGGCGACACAGCAACGGAATGACGCAGACCAAAACGCAGGATTACGAGGTCCACATCACAGAAGAACAGAAGCATACCAACTCACAACATGGGCCTTTTGTAGCGCCCTTCAAGCACATGGCACTCAATGCATTTCTTTCTGAACAATTACACTAGGGCGACACAGCAGTGTCACTGAATCGGTGCGCAAGTGTCCTCACTTCGGTGCGCCATTTCTGAGAGATCTCAAGCAGATACTATATGGCAAGGCAGATGCTACTGTGTCTGGTTTGAACTTCGAGATGAAGATGCACGCGAATGACGTAAAACCTTCGGGAAAACAAACCTTCGTTCCAAATGTTGCCGGCCCTTTTTGATCAATGGGTCTTTTTCGGTCACAGAATCTGGCAAGCATTCACCGAAGTGAAAAAAGAACATCTTAAAATTATGAAATCTTATGAATCATGGTGAGACTATGCTGCTTGCACAAGCCTAACGCTTCTTCCAAAAGAGTATGCCAAAGAGGTGGGGAAATCAACCCAAAACACCGTACCAGCGACCGAACACGAAGATCACAAAACCCTTCCAGGCAGCTCTCAGAGCTCTGAGACCACTCAGTTTTAGACAAACAAGGAAAGTTAAAAACACGTAATACGTCTTGACAAACTTCGAACGTCACATTGCACTATAATCACTACAAGTACTGTATAACTGTATAACCATCTGCAACCCGCCAGTCGCATGGTGTCGGAACGGCAACAGGTGTCGCTCAGGTGTTGGCAACAACAGCAAAGTGTCGCCCAGCACTTGTGGCCATTTGGGTAGCTCTCCTGTCTCCCTCGCCTTGCGTCCATGCCGATGTCTTTGGAAACGACATGTGCAATGGAAATTGGAAGATTGATTTTGCGGAGAAAGGAAATCCAACTGCTCGAACGGAAATCTTTTTGTAAGTCCTTCAAAGTTGTGGAATTCCCGTTGTCGCAGGCAGTCGCCTGCAGCTCTGCAGTTGCTCTCACCGCTTGCCGAACGTCCTGGATGAAGATCATTTCGGCTTTGCACCCGGGCAGTGCAGAAGGCATTCGTTCATGAAAACATCACAAAACTGCCACATGGAAACAGCCTTTATTCATGTGTTTGCCTTCAAATATCGACCAGCAGTCATCAAATATCTGCAAGCAGTTTGGCGCCAAAGACCCCGACGAGAACAAAGAGAACCAAACAGCTCCTCGACGAGAAGTTTTTCCTCGCCCTGCAGACTTCGGAAGTCGTGCCTCGGTTCCGTCGCGTTCGGAACGTTTTCCCGGCCCCCGGTGTGATCTACAGGAACAGCAAAGACAGTGGTGCGAGGGTTCCGGATCCGTTCCTGCGAGGTCCGCGAGACAAATCCGGGATTGGCACATGAGCATCCAAAGAGGTGCACGAAGGTGCTCCTGGAGGATGGAAAAGCATCAAAACATGTTCAAGGAAGGTGAGGAAGAACTGTCAGAAACAAATGTGGACCAAAAGGAAAAAGCTGTTCTATAGTTTTTGTTTCCCATCTTGTGCGTCCTTGATGAGCTGTATCTGTTTCAGCACCGGCTCTTGAGAGCTCATATAGAGTTCTAGATTAGAACCTGAGACAGATCGGTTCGCACATGTCGAAAGACGAAGCAGACCCACAACAGGCAAATAAGCTAAGATGTTCACATTGCGAGGGAAGCTCAGAGAGTGCTTGTGTTATCGCCTGCACAGAATTGTTTGAGTGTGTATTCTATGGGGAGACCCCAAATCAATGGGTGTTGGTCTACGTTTCTTCTTCCAGGGGTCTGTGGGAGGTCTCCCTATCTCAATCCACACCCAATTGAGTTCATTCAATCAGCTGCACCCTGTTTGACCGGCCTTCGTTTGAGCTTCGAATGCCTTCTGTTTCGCTGAGTCCTCAGAATGATAAATGTTTTGCTCTACTGTCAGCACCTTTTCACATGCTCTACAACGAAGGTCATCAAACGGGAACAATTTGGAATGCAACTAATCACTGAGATTAATTGCAGGATGATTCTAGCTCGAACCACAATCCACAATCACAGAATCCCGCTGCTCCTCAAATTGCATATGCGTCAGCGGGTGGAAGTTCCCACAAAGGAATCTCAGATGACTTGGCCTCAACAAAGGAAATAGACCTAGCCTAGTAACAAGAAGCTACTAGTAACAAAGGGCATCGCTACTAGTAGCAAGAAACTACTGGTAGCTCCTGGCATAGCTACTAGGAACAAGAAGCTACTAGTAACAAAGGGAATCGCTACTAGT